ATGGATGTGTTGATCATTGATTAAAAATATACTAAAACGACAAGATGGTGGTAGTGATACAAATAAGTGAAAAAAATCAATTCAATAGCAAAACATCAACAAAGAATCTATTTTGTTTTTAGGATAAGTTTTACTCGATTAAATTAATTTATTTATTTTAACATTCTTACACATATCAATTTTAGCTTAAGTTAATTTTTATTTTATTTTTATCTTACGAATTTAAGTTGAGTTGTTTCTTTATATTGATTTATTCTCCATCGTAAAATATTGTCTATCAAATTAGTTAAATTATTGATTTCATTCGATTATTTTCATAACCCTTTTTTTTAGCGCAAGTACATTAATAAATACAAGAAAACAATCTTCTAATTTCTTTTTGAAAATGATCTAAAAATTCTGTATTGCAAAACGATTTCAACATAGGCGAATCTCTCTAGTGTTAAAGAAGACTAAGCATGAGAAAGTTAATCAACACTTAAATTTGTCATCACAACATTATATCGACAAGATTTTTGATAGTAACGATCACTTGCCTGTTTAGGGTCGTTTTTTTCAACTCGATTGCACATATATATATATACTCTAGTACAAGACAAAAAAGAGACATAGATCTGATTTATTTGACCATTTATTAATTAATGTTTACATGTTTTCTTAAATGAAAATGAAGTAGTGTTACTTTTTTTTCAGTTTCATCTTAAGACGTAGAATATTTTTTTCAACATTTGCCAGCTTGTCCTTGAAGGATTCATCCTTAGTATTGTAACATTCAGCGGCTTTTTCGTAATATCTGAGGGCTTTCCATAATTCAGAGTTCTGTTCGTAAACGTCAGCCATGTTCTCCCATGTTAAGGCAATCAATGGATGTCTGAATGAAAGTGACTTTTCTTTAATTAGAACCGACTCTTCGAAATATTGTAACGCTTTTTTGAAATCGCCGGTACTTTTGTAGACATGGCCTAAATTATGTAACGACTTAGCCACATCTGGATGATCAGAAGGAAGAAGTTTTCTACGAATCGTCAAGGCCTGGTTATGGTACTGATGTGCTTTTAAATATTGTTTCTGACTGTCGTAAATCGTACCTATATTACTGAGGCATGCGGCAATAGCTAAGTGTTCTTCACCAAAATTTCGCTTCCAAATCTCCATAGCTTTGTGATAATATTTAAGTGCTTCTTCATGGGTCTCTTGCTTTGCATAGATATTGCCAATACTGTTGTAACTATCGGCAAGATTAGGATCATTTCCTTTGAGACTTTTTTGTTTTCGGTCTAATGCTAATTTATACCAATAGAGACTTTTTGGTAAGTCTTCTTTTTCGAATGCAAGATCTCCGAGTTTAGAGTACAAAGAAGTAATATCCTTATGATTATCAGGCATTGTGTCATGCAGATGACGAAGATGTTTTTCGGCTTCGTCAAGTTTATTCATCTTCATTAATTGTGTGACGAATGCAAGACGTTTCCGTTCATGACCTTCGACAAGATTTTCCAATTTCATGTGTTCGATAGTGAATTTCAGACTGTTTTCATTTTCGCTGCATAATTTCATTCGAATGATCCAAAATTGTTCGTCGTGATGTTTCACGTCAAGAATTCGATAGATAGATCCTACTGTCATGAGCACTTCTTTTTCTTTAGGATGCGCACTAAGTTGGCTGACCTCAGCAAACGGTTTGACTCCTTGAAGTTGAGGATCAGCATCAATTTCGAAGAAAACTTGTCGAAAGTCATCCGACGGCTCGAGAAAGTTGCGAGCTTCCGTTGCATCGAGACTTGTCGAAACAAATGAAGTCATTGAAATCAATTTTCCTGTTGCATTTACCAGTCCATTGAATTCTTCTTGTGATATCGATTGACATCGGTAAGTTCGAATCGCTTTTTTACATCGATGCTTTTCGATTGCTTTCCAAAGATCGGCGATGAAGAATCGCATAAGATAAAGCAAAGAAGTATCTTGTCTATGAAACGCTTTGTTTAACATTCGATAGAGAAACGATTCTTTCGTATACCACCATAAGGCTTGATCAGATTTATAATTTTGTTTGAATTTACGAAGATTCTTCATTTCTTCTTTATTGTCTTTGTATTTTTTTTCACAAATCGAGATTAATTCTTCTTTATCCTTTTCAGTACCTTCTATGCGGACAAGGGAATCCAATAATAATTCAAACTGAACATATTGTCCGTTGAGACCGAATGATGTTCGATCTGTTACCGAGTTGTCTTGTAAGAAGGTTATCGAATATTGTTCTTCGATTTTCTTAGTCTTCTCATGATCTGTTCTAATTCGATGAATGAGCTGTTCGAGATCTGTACTTATTAATTTGATCTAAATAGAAAATTATTAGAGAATTATACAAAATCAATATTTCTCCTAACTTTTGAATATTGCTTGGCCCATTCCTTATTCTTCTTCTTGTCCATACAGTAGACATAGATGGCAGAAACTTGTCGAAGTTTATAAATTCGGGGCACTATTTCTCGTCCCAAACCGCCACTGACGATGAGCACAATTCGTTCTGATTCGTCACATTTTCGAATGTATTTTTCGCACTTTGAAACATTGTCGAATGTTTTCAGATAATTAATGATTGTACGAAGATCTGCTTGGGCTTCAATGTTTTCTTTTGATGTATTTACCGATGCATCAAGCCAAATAAGACT